CTGAAAGCACTAAGGTCCTTCCGAATTCCCTAGTGAGAATTCACATAGAGGGGTGAAGTTTCTCCAAATATCTCACCTACGGGCTGGATGAACCTCAAACTTTCACCTAGAACCTCATCCCTCTGCTTCAGGTATTGCTCCCAAGGTTCCTCTTGACTCCCAGGAATGAATGGTTTCCAGACCTTTCTTGGGCACCTCAGCCATGGGACAATGGAACAGTGGCAATGGGACAGTGGCCCTGAACAGGGTGAAAGGTAAACTCGGGACAGCCTCGGTGCCCTGCCCAGGCTTCACAGACACCTCAGGCAATGGCAGAGTTCGAGGCAAGCACACTGGTGCTTTTCTGGAAGCTTCCTTCTTCTACTCCCTCACCAACGGGGTAAAAACCGCACGCAGAGTAGCCCTAAGTGCTCCTTCCTTCTCATCATTCAGCAGGTTTAGTGAACTTTGGGGCCCTGAGAGCCTGAGATACTTAAAAGTGAGAAGAGGAATGACAATCTGATCTACATCTGTTGTGCTTCCAATTCTGTCCGTGTGTCTGGTTTTCAGGAGCAGAGATGTCCACTGGTATCTACCCTCCACCTCCACCAAACTCTCGCAGTCACCCCTTTCATTTTTTTCATTCACCAAATACTTTTGTGAGGACCTACCATGTATTTAGCCCTGGGGCTACAAAAGCAAAGAAGCTTGTATCTTTCCTACTCAAAAGTACCAAGCACCGGGGCCCCTGGGTGGCACAGTAGGTTGGTTAAGACTCTGACTCTTGGTTTCGGCTCAGGTCACAATCTCAGGGGTGAGATCAAGTCCCACGTTGGCTCCATGCTCACCGCAGAGTCTGCTTGAGATTCTCTCTCCCTCTCCCTCTGTCCCTCCCTCTCTCTCTCTCTTTCTCTCTCTCTCAAATTAATTAATCTTAAAAAAAAAAAGTACCAAGCACTTAGTAATAATACCACACATCTTTGGGGTTCCTGGGTGGCTCAGTCGCTTAAGGGTTTGCCTTCATGATCCCGGGGTCCTGGGATAGAGCCCTGCATCAGGTTCCTGCTGAGGGTTGGGGGGGGGCCTACTTTCCCCTCTCCCTCTGCCCCTCCTCCTGGCTCATGCTCTCTTGGTTTTATCCTGCTTCCTGGAGGTATTCAATTAAGAAAATAAATCATACCTTACTTTCAATAACGTTTTAGAGATCATAGAGCACAAAACAAACAACCCCGTGAAGTCAGAGGTGCAGAGTTGTTCTTATACCCATTTTACAGGTGAGAAGCCTGAGGTTTTGGAAGGTGTGTGAGCCAGAAAATAGCAGGTCATGGATGGGACTCCAATTTTCCTGACTCCCAGCCTAAAGGGGCTTTTCACTGAATGGCTGCCTCTCTCTGAGGTAATATTTTCCACCACAAAAAAAATCAATATTATCTCACGGACCTAGTAAACATCCTGCTTGTTGACTTTGAGCCACCTCCCTGAAATATGCTATATGTCATGTATTTAGTTAAGTCAAAAGGAATCAAGTCTTTTTTTTTTTTTAAACAACTCCCGAATTTCATTTCATCCCTTGATTACCATGCATCAGGGGCAAGGAAGAAGAATCCTATTGAAAATCCTTCCTGGACATAGATGTAGGTATTTTACATAATTGGAATAAAAGGAAAAATACATGGTGATATGAAACCCATATTTGACAATGATTTCATTAACACCCAAATCTTGTCCTAATGTCAAGGTTATGTTCTTATGGTAAATGTCCATGATCCCTTCCTTCTCACATGGAATCCTTTATGGGAGGTTACAGCGGGGTGTGGTGGGCAGAATAAAGCCCTCTCACCCCCCAAAATATCTATCTCCTAATCCCTGGAACCTGTAAGTATGTTACTTTATATGACAAAAAAAAAAAAAAAAAAAAGACTTTGCAGATGGATTAAGTTAATGATTTTGAGATGAGGAGTTTATCCTGGATTATTGGGGTAGGTCCAATGTAATTACAGAGGCCCCTAAAAGTGGAAAAGAGAGAGGCAGGAGAGGAGATCACAGTGATGAGATGTGAGAAGGACCCAACCTGCCTTTGGTGGCTTTGAAAATAGGGAAAAGGCCATGAGTCAAGGAGTGAAGGTAACCTCTACATGCTGAACTGGGCAGGGAAACAGTCTCCCCTAGATCTTTCCCAAAGGAACGCAGCCCTGCTGACACAATTTTAGCCCTTTGAGACTAGTGTTGGACTTCTGGTCTACAGAACTCTTAGATAATAAGTGTGTACTGTTTGTAAGTCACTGAGTTTGTACTAATTTGTTACAGCAGCAATAGAAAACTAATACAGAGGCTCAACTCGGATGGCAGGAAATTCCGTGAGCATCTGGTTACCCCCCCCCCCCGCTTTGGACCCCCTCTGCAACATCACTGTTTTTGAATCTCACTCCCCTTTTCTAGATAGCAGCACTTTGAGTCTCAGAAACCAAGAAAGTGAGAATCTGAATTTCCTAAAAGATTTCCATACTTACAATTTTGCTGATTTTTGATAGTCCTGCTAGAAATAAAAGCCCATAGCAAAGCGTAGCAATTTCTGGTTGCAAAAAGGAGGGAATTTGGGAAAGGGTGAAATGTGTTGTTTATTAAAGGATTATCATTCAAGATCAGTTTGGAATACAAGTAATGCAGGGCCAGTGCTGCTTTGGGGGAACATGAACATCCCATGCAGAATCCCTCCTCCCTGTCCAGTCCCATCCCCAAGAGAGGTAGGTCAGGATCAGAGGCAAGGTTACTTTTTAAAAGATAGACTTCCCTACACCCCCACCCTCCTCCCAGCCTGGAGCAAAGTAGGCTACCAGCTGAATTTAACCACTGAGAACCCTGGTACGCCCTGGCTCAAAGACAATGCTGTCACCACTTCAAATCCAGCCCATTGGGGCTGGTGCAGGAAAGAATCCTTTGTGCTCTTTCTCAGCATTATCCAGAAAGGTGCAAAAGGGGATAGACAAAACAACCTGAGGCATGAATGAGACTGGAGACCCAGAAAATGGTTTGGTGCCGCCTCTCTTCAGCAAGACTGAAACTTTACATTTTATGTAAGCCCATTTTAAGAGGTTGGTAGATTGTAGCAGTGGAAAGATCCTTGTGTGGATTTTGGAGCCCTGAGTTCTATTCTGAGCTCTGACACTGATTTGCTGGGTCATTTGATAAGCCTCAGGTTATATTCTTTTAGGGGTTGTGTCAGGTGATCTTCAAGCTCTGCTACTCTAGGAATCTCTGCGAGAGGAACCAACTATAGACCAAAAAGGGGAATGGAAAATTGTTCACCAAAGACCCAGTGTCTTGGGTGTTTGAGGATCTAAGAGAGTACAGGTTGGGATTGGGACCCAGTCAGTTCAAGCAGAACACCTGGTCAGGGGCAGAGGAGGAGGTGGAGACCAGGACGGTTACAAGAGAGATCTGGGGCCATCCAGGGGCCCCTCAGGTGTCCTTCTTGGCCTCCCACCCCCACTCCCTCGTGTGAATTCCAGTCCCAATTCTGATCCAGATCCTAGATTGGACTGAGACAGCTTGAAGGCTGTGGCCAGGGGAGGGAAGGTCACACACTGATCTGGGGCTAAAGATGAAGTGATTTCCAGACAACTAAAGGCAGAATCTCAGGAAGGGTTTGTTCACTGCACCGAAAGGTAGGGCCGGCACAGAGCGCCGGGAGGCGGCCGGCGTTCCCACGCTGCCCCATCCTCCAGGCCCAAATTGCAGAGGGAAGTGGCTGGAGTTTGAGCTTCAGGCGACCCAAATTCTAGTCCTGACTATGAGTGACTTTAGGCATCTCCCTTCCCTTGTCTGGACCCGTTTCCTCACAGGACTCATCGGGGAGGGGATTCTTTCTCCTGCACCACAGTCTGGCTCGGGCTGGGACGGACGAACACTTGGCGGCTGCACGGGGCTTCTCCTGTTCGATGCTCCGCTTTCCCTACCACCCATCCCTCCTTCCCGACCCTCCCCACCTCCCTCCTGCCGGCTGTCCCTCCCTGGTGCCCGCTCGCGTCCCTCCCAGGCGGGGGTCCCAATCCCGGCCCGGTACCTGCGCCGCGGGCCCCGCCGCGCTGGCTGGCCCTGGAATAGGGCGCGCCGGTGGGGGCGGCCGGAGCAGGGCGGCGCCCGGGGCTGCCCCCTGGGCCCCGAGCCCCCAGCCTCCGCACGCCCGGGCGGGCCAGGGGGCCGGGGGCGGCAGGGGTCGGCGGCGGCAGCAGCAGCAGCGGCCACAGCAGCAGGAGCAGTCCCGAGAGGTGGCGCGGCATGGCGGGCTCCGCACTCCTGCAGGTGTCGTCGTCGAAGGCTCGCTCGCTCCAGCAGCCGAGCGCCTGAGCCCGGCGCCGAGGAGGCCAATTTAAAGGTCCCGCCGCCCCGCGCCCCGCCCACCCCGCGGCCCCGCCCCGCGGCCCCGCCCCGCGGCCCCGCCCCGCGGCCCCGCCCCCCGCCGGAGCGCTGGAGGAGCCGCCGGGCTCGGAGCCCGGGGCCCGCGGGAGCCTGTCCGCGCATTCCGGCGGCAGAAACGGAATGTCTGGGGCGAGCCGGCGGCGGCGCGGTGCCCGGAGCCCGGCCCGCGGAGGCCCCCGCCGGGCCTCGTCTGGGTGGGCTCGGCCGGGCGCCTCCTGGCCGCGCTCCGTCTCTCCCGAGACTTGTGCCCTGGCCTGCGAACCCCCCCGGCTGCAGCCCGCCGGCCCTGCGCTCTCCTCCTGACCCGGCAGGCCTGACCCCGGCCCCAGGCGAGGGGACCCCGGGCTCTGCCTTCCCGCTCCCGCCAGCAGTGCCTGCGGCGAGGTTGCATCTCGCTGCTCGCCCTGCATTCCTTTCGCCAGCCAAGTAACCAAGTTTTGCTGTGGGCTCTCAGTAAAAGGAAAAAAAAAAAAGCCTCACAGATTCTGGCAGCATGAATAGAAATGCTTTCATCCCAGCTTCAAACATCCGTAAACATTTGAACTTATATTACAGGAATAGAAAGTCAAATATACATTCCCCAGAGAGCCCCCCCCCACCCTCCCGGCCAGCTGGAAGGACAGCCTGTACCAACAGAGGCTTCCAAGGCGCTCCCTAAATCCCGTTTCCTCTCCGGAAGAGTGACGGTGGCAGCACGGGGCTGGAGGCTACCCAGGGGACCCTCCAAGAACTGTCTACCGGGAGAAAGCATAATGGTCTACCTGTCTAAGGGAACATGGTGAATTTAGGAAAAAGAGACTGCAGCAGACTGAGGAAAGCAGGAAGGCTTCTAAAAACAGGTGAGGTTTGAGCTGGATCCTAAAACCTGACAATGAACGTGAGTTCCAACAGATCCAATCTGGTCTTCCTGCTTCCAGACTATTAGTCCTCTAAAATCCACACTCCACGCACTAACCTTAAAATCACTTCTCTTCTTAAACCTTGCAACTTCACTTCCAGGAAAATCCAAATTCCTTTTCACGGCCAACAAGGCTCATTGAGATTCAATCCCACCTTCTCTGCAGCACTGACCAACATCCAGAACTGTATTCCTGCTCTCCATGCTTCAGTCATGCTAGCCTTCCCCGTGTCCTGGAGGACGCCAAACTTGTTCCCACCTTGGTCATCAGTGTAATGTCTTCCTCAGAGCAGCCTTCCCTGAGGCCAGATCTTAGTTTTTCAAACTTATTTTTACCACAATCCATTATAACAACTACATTTTAGATTATGAGCCAGCAGCTACATAGATAACACATATATCCACAGAAATGATAGTTGCACGAAACAATATTGACACTTAACCACATTTGATGCTATTCTATCCACCTCCATTCAGTTCTATTTCACTTTTTTTTTTTAAAGATTTTATTTATTTGACAGAGAGAGCACAAGCAGAGGGAGACAGAGGGAGAAGCAGGCTCCCTGCTGAGCAAGGAGCCCGATGTGGGACTCGATCCCAGGACTCTGGGATCATGACCCGGGCCGAAGGCAGCCGCTTAACGGACTGAGCCACCCAGGTGTCCCTCTATTTCATTTTTTTTTTAAATGTGATCATGAGTACATGAGTTTTTAGTTCACTAATGTTTCCCAGTTAGCAGTTTAAAAAATTCTGTTTTAAATAGATTCTTTCCTACTGTCTCCGCCTTTCTGCTCTGTTATAGCATCCTGTGTGTTTTGTTTGGGGGACTTATTCAATTTCTAATTATTCAGTTTATATTCAATTTATTTATTTTTATATCCCACCAGACTGTAGGCTCCAGAAGGGCAGAGCTGATGCCTGGCATTGTTCGGTGCTGACTTCCTGTAAATTCCTCCTTACCGCATGCAGGTCTGCAATGGGACTGAAAATTTAGGAAATGGAAGATCATAGAACAGGGCTGAAATTTAACTCTGCCTTGGCAGGATAGTAAACAGGCACGATAGACTGTAAGAAAAGAAATAACCTGGCATTACTTTATCCAAGAGCCCAAGGATGCTGAGGAAATGGTTCTGCTCAGTTTCACTTCATTGCTTGACAACAGATGGCTCTGTGCTGGGCACTGGCTCCACAGATAGCCCTTTCCTCTGGCCTCCTCTAGTGGGGAGTTGGTCCTCCTCCACCACCAGACTCCTTCTCTGAAGAAATTCAGGGGTACAAGCAACATAGAGTGTAATAGTCTGTTTCAGCACATTTGCATGTAGGCATATGTGAAGATTAAAACTATTTGGTTAGGCTAGGGAAGAAATTATAGGTAGTTTTCCCTAAAAATTCATTATAATACTACCATTTTGTTTTTACAATCCTAAAAAAAAAAAAAATAGAAACTATTTCTTTACTGGTCAGCTCTGGCTAGGTTGGGCTATGGTAATAACGACCCTAAAATCTCAGGGGCTCCTAACAAGAGAAATGTACTTCTTGCTCTGTTATGTGTCCTTCCTAGGTTGGCTGCAATTCTTCCCCACGTCGTCTTCATTCTGGAACCCAAACAAGGGGCAGACCCAATCTGAGACATGCTGGTCTTGTGGCAAAGGAAGGAAATGAGAGATGGAAGAACCAGATGACAGATCCAAACATTTCTGCAAGAAATGGCTCACATCAATCCCACTCACATGTGATTGGCCAAAGCAAGTCATGTGGGCAAGAAAGGTCTGTGGGTGGGGAATAGAAGGCTTTTACAGCAAATCGTTGCAAACCATAATACAATCTAGCACAATTTATTTATACACCTTTTATAATGGGATGGAGGGGGGGTGCCCTCTGAGGTCTCCTCTCTAGATTTGGTAAGAATCTTTGGCCTCTGAATCCTGATCAGCTTCTCGTCAGAGGCCCCTCCCTTTGGGCCATCCAATCCTGACTTTTTTTTTTTTTAAGATTTTTATTTTTAAGTAATCTCTACCCTCAAGGTGGGGCTCAAACCCACAGCCCCGAGATCAAGAGCCATATGCTCCCCGGATTGAGCCAGCCAGGCGCCCCTAATCCTGACCACTAACAGCTTTCCGGGGGCCCAGGTGGGAGAGCCTCCGTGGATTGATTTCTTTGTTCCTGCTGTTTGGCGTCCTGTGATAGGGTAGCTGCCCTAGCTCTCAGCTCAGACCCACTGGGAAATGTCTCTGGAAGCCTCTTCAGACCCGTCGTCACCCCCGGGAGCCACGCCCCCTCTTACCTTCTAGGTTCTGCGCGCTGCCCAGCTCCAAAAGGCTGCCGGGACACGTGCAAGGCCATGGTGTCGGTTGGGTTCCAAGAGCTATTTTCTCACATCCTGGACTTACTGTTTCGTGACCAAAACACCTAGTTGTGCTAATTTCCAGAAACTCCCAGATTCAATTCTCTCTGACTCTGCATGCTAGAAACCTAAGGGAAGGAGGCCTACTGTGCACGCCTGAATGCGGAGGTTCTGCCACTTGACTGAGTCTAAGAAGCCCTCAGGAGGCTTATTAAAAGGCAGCTTCCTGATACTCGGGCATTAAAAGGCAGACGGTTTGGGACTGGGCCTAGGAATCTGCATTCAACAATCTCTCTAGGCAACTGACACCTGAGGGAGTTTGCAATGTCCCGGTTCTGATGGTCTCCACAACAGGCCTGGGCAGGATCCAGGGCAAGGGCCCCTGCAAGGAAGTGGCCCCCCAGCACAGAAGGCCTTTGAGGGACTGACTGTATGGTCAGAAGACATCTTGGGCCAGGGAGTGAGTATTCTCTTTCCTCCGTCACACTTCTCAAGAGCAGTCACTAAAACTCAAATCACCAAATCCAAAGGCTTCCTCAGAGAGTTCAGACAGCTCCACAGCTGTCAGGTGTCCCAGTTCTAGCGCCTTCCGGCAGGGCTGCTCTGTAATCCTGATTCTACATGAATTGTCTATTTCCTTTTCCACTTCTTTTACTGCTTCCCAGTCTAGAAATCCACAAGACTTTTCCTGGGTCAGCTTTTAAAAAATTGTAATAGATTTTTTTTTTCTTAACGGTAAAAGTAATGCAACTTACCGTGGAAAGTTTAGCAAATGTAGTAAAGCAAAAATAAGAAAACAAAGACCATCCATAACACTGACGTCCAAAGGTTAGCTATGTGGGATTATCTCTTTCTCTCCTTGTATACTCATATATTTTTATTAAAAATGAGATCACACTGTATATTGTGATCTTATTATTTGCTCTTTGTACTTAATGTATAGTGAACATTTTTTGTTATATTCTTCTAATACATCATTTTTAATGGCTATATTGTATTCCATCATAGATTCCATTTATTTATGCAATTCTCCATTGTGGGACATTTAGTTTCTACTTGTTTTTAATGATAAATAGTGCTTCAATGAATCTCCTTTTGTGAATCATTGTGAACTATTATTCTTTCTGGCTGTAAGTGGAGTATCTCAATGACTAGGCCTTCTTGGGCCTCTGTGTACCATCATATTAGGAATTCCACTGAGTGTGGGTTCAGCTGCCATCTCTCTAGTGGTAATTCCCCAAACCATGTCTCTTGTCCCAGTCCTGCTCCTGGGCAACAGACTTACATTAATACTCTGCCTGTTGTACTCTCTATTCAAAGATCACAAAAGCACCTCAGGCTCAACCACATCTGAGAATGAACTCAACATCTTCCTCTTTTTTTTTTTTTAAGATTTTATTTTTAAATAATCTCTACACCCAATGTGGGGCTCAAACTCAAAACCCTGAGATCAAGAGCTGCCTGCTCTACTGACTGAGCCGGCCAGGCGTCCCTCCACATTCTTTAATGACCTTCCTTTTATGCCTGCTTTCTGCCTGTGGAGCTAGCGTTCTCCCAGCCACATGGGGGTGAATCCTGATGTCCTCTTTCCTCTCTTGATCCCCTTGTATTAAAGTTATCAAGTCTTCTGCCCGCATCTCCACCAGTTCAAATCCTGTCCAATGCTCAAAGCCTATCTCAAATCACTTCATTACAGGAAGCTTACCCTTATCTTTCCAGCTATATGCAATCCCCGAAGGAGAGGGAGGGGAAGACAGAAAAAAAATGTGAAGAAATAATGGCTGAAAAACATGTGAAACTTGATGAAACCGATAAACCCAATGAACCTCAAGCACAAGAAACACACACACACAAAACCTTACTTTTTTGTATATATTATACCTCAAAAAAAAAAAAAAAACCAAAGAACATATTTTAAACAATGCTTAAAACCAGTGACAGAGTTTTTCATCATCAAAAGTTAAAAAAATAAATGAACAAAGTTAAGGATGATGGAAAATTTCTCAGTAGAAACAATATGTACAAGACAGTGGAGCAACATCTTCAAAGTACTGAATAAAAAACAAACAAACAGGGGCACCTGGGTGGCTCAGTGGGTTAAGCAACTGCATTCGGCTCAGGTCATGATCCTGGAGTCCCAGGACCAAGTCCCACATTGGGCTCCCTGCTCAGCGGGGAGTCTGCTTCTCCCTCTGACCCTCCCCCACCTCATGCTCTCTCTCTTTCTCTAATAAATAAAATCTTTAAAAACAAACAAACCTGACTCCCTAGAATTCTATATCCAGGAATAGAATTGTTTGAAAACAAAGGTAAAATAAAGACATTGTCAGATATACGAAGGCCAAAAGAATTCATCAGCAGTAGAACCACACTGCAAAAAAAAAAGTTTTCTTCCGGCAGAAGAAAAATGATACCAGGTGAAAATGTGGATCTACAAAAAGAAAAACACCAGAAATGGTAACTAAATGAGTATATATGTAATTTAAAAAATTATCTTCCTCTTTTTAAAAGATAATTAACTGTTTAGCCAAAAATAAGAGTCACAGAAAGTCAACACAAGAAAGAACCTAGTCAGCCACTCATTTGGAAATGAATTATTTACTGTCATTCAACTGGTGGGAGGGCGAGGGAATATAAATCAGGTTTCCTGATGCCTCATCCAGATTTTCAGCTACTTCACTGAATGATGACAGGTACAAAACTCCTTTCTAACAGACCAGAAACAGTTACTCTTTTTCTGGTTTCCAGATCAAATACCCTTCTCCCTTTTCAATCCTTCCTCTCGCCACTCCTTGCTCACACACTCCCCTCGTGATAATATTTACACAGTGCTTGATAGTTGCCAACTCTTCCATGTCTGTTACCTCACTTGATCCTAAAAACAACTCCCAGAAGGGTGTAGGTCAGGGGTTTGCATCTTCCTGATTTTTACAGATGCAGAAACTGAATCTCAACCAGAGTTAAACTCCCCAGCATGAGGGATTAATAGCGTGATGCAGTTAGGACTGAAATTTCAACCTTCTGATTCCAGACTGCGTGCTCATTCTGCCAGCCCCATACTGCCTCTCTCACATGCCTGAATTCCATGTTTCTGGCACGCATCTTCTAAATTATTTTCTCATACCCAAAATCACGACTTTTATAGGAACACAAAGCAACCTCAGAAAAGCAAAAGTACTACTTTGCTTGGGCTTATTTATAACATGCTCCTTCTCTGAACGTAAAAGGAGTCCTGAAAATGGAACATTGGTCATTTGCTGTAAGCGACATCGAAACAATTAGAAAAAACTAAGTTCATGATGACTATGAACAAATTAGTCACAGGCTAGAAAACAGGGATTAGACCATCACCAAACAGAAGAAAATGTACAACTTATCAATGGAAAGGCTCTTGGTTTTGTATTTCAAGTATTTTTTTATTTTATTTATTTATTTGACAGAGAGCGACAGCTAGAGCAGGAACACGAGCCCGGGGAGTGGGAGAGGGAGAAGCAGGCTTCCCGCTGAGCAGGGAGCCCCGACGTGGGGACGCGGGTCTCTATCCGGGATCATGACCTGAGCCGAAGGCAGACGCCCAGCAACTGAGCCTCAGGCGCCCCGCAAGTACCTTTAAATGTAGGTGTGGTACACCCAACGTTTAGATCATATCCACTTCATATTGAAAACAGTCTATTAGCAGTGTACAGTTTGTGGAGACAAAGTATTTCATTCAGTAAACATTTACCACCCTCCCTTTCCCTCCCAACTTTGTGTGAGCCACTGTGCCAAGTGCTGCAGATGGGAAAAAGAGTAAGGCCTCATCTCTTAAGTTGTTCACTAACAGAGACACAGACAAAATAAAACATGAGCTTAATGGAGGGATGTTCCCAGATGCTAGAGGAAGAGGAAAGGAAGCAGGCCGATTCAACAAATCATTTTTCAAAGCGAATGCCCTGGTAGTCCATTTGCCAAATAATCAAAAGAGAAAATGGGCAATTTACAGAGTTTACCTAATTTACTAAAACCTTCTAAGTAATTTTAAGATCTCTCAATATATATAGATGTGTTCTCTGAGGACTTGCTGTCAGTTGGTCTGCTGTTGTGCTAAGCACCGTACACATTGTCTTCTCTTAGTAAGTTACATGGCGCTCACTAAAGCTCACAGAGGTTAAGTAACTTGGCCAGACTCACACAGTAAATCAGTGGCAGAACTGAAGTTTAAAACCAACTTGTCTGAATCCAGTATCTGATTTCTCAACAACTCCTCTATACAACCTGCTTTATAATATCTACTGATCTTTTTTATGTGCTAGACACTGTTCTAGATTCTGCACATGAATTGTATCATTTATTATTTACAACTCTGTGAGTTAGCAGAGTCTTTTTCTAGATGAGAAAACAGATTCAGAGAAGTTATACCACAAGTCCTTTTAGGACTCATCTGTTCAGAGTCCTCCAATAGGTTCCCCTTCTACTAAGTCAGTCATCGTAATGACCTACAGTGGCCAACCCAATACCTCCCCGAGCTCACTGCCCACTGCCCTTGGCTCTCCTCCCTTTCCACTCTCCTCACTCAAGCTGGCTATTCTTTGAATTCGCCTAGTGCACTAGTACATATCCCTCTGCCTAAGATCTTCCTCCTTCAGGTTTCACTCACATGTCACCTTATTCCAAGTGCAGCCTTTCCTGACATCCTTTAAAATTGTACCCACCCCATTCCCCTTTCTTGTCTCCTTCTCTCCGTAGCTCTGTCACTAACTTACTATATCGTTTTAAATCATCAGTCTCTCCCCACTAAAAGGAGACCAAGGAGGGGTTTTTTTGGTTTGGGTTTTGTTTTGTTTTACTGTTTTGCCCATCACTGTGTCTCTTGCACTTGGAGCAAAGTACAGGCTCAAAATATATCAGTTGAGTTAAACTTTTGCTCAGGGTTAGAGTGTGAATTGGGTACTGAACCCAGCAGATAATCCCTAACACCATCCTCTTTCCATTACGTCAAATGTGCTAATAATGCCAGAGAAAATGCATGCTCCAGTGAGCTCAATTTTGGAAACAAGGGCCTCACAGGGCTCAAGTTTTGTTTCATAGGCCTCAGAAACACCTGGAACTTTATGGAGCTTTTACAGCTAGCCACATTCATATAAGTAAATGTTGAGAATGTGAAGCAAGAAGGCCAAAACCAGAGCACAGAGTGGACAAAGCAGATGGAGGTGAAAAAGCTACAAAAGGAATCCAAACAGATGACAAAGATAGGCAAAACTCAGTGAAAAGTTGTGAAAGCCAAGAGGTTGGGTAGTCAACGATGTTGGATGATAAAAACCAAAACTGAGGTTAGAAAGTTTAACAGGGGGGCACCTGGGTGGGTTACTTAGTTGAGCGTCCAGCTCTTGACTTCAGGTTATGACTTCAGGGTCCTGGGATCGAGCCCCACGTTGGGACTCTGCACTCATACTCACCGGGGAGTCTGCTTGGGATTCTCCCTCTCCCTCTGCCTCCCCCCAAGCTTGCACTCTGTCTGCTGATGGATAATTTTTTTTTAAGATTTTTTCATTTATTCGACAGAGAGAGACACAGCGAGAGAAGGGACACAAGCAGGGGGGGTGGGAGAGGGAGAAGCAGGCTTCCCGCAGAGCAGGGAGCCTGATGCGGGACTCGATCCCAGGACCCTGGGATCATGACCTGAGCCAAAGGCAGACGCTTAACGACTTAGCCACCCAGGCGCCCCAGATGGATAAATTTTTTAAAAAAGCAAATATAACAGGACTTTGTGATTTAGGAAGGCATCAAGTTCTCATGAGACTTTATTATGGGAATATCAGAAGCAGTGCCAAACTCAAGTCAGAATGGTGAGATTTATGAGCTCCTTACTTAAGCTGGAGTTGCTTCCTATTTTAAAAAACAAGGCCAAACGCCTAAACATTTA